TTTCAGAAAGCAGTATAGTCAATCATTCAGAAATAGTAATAATTGAACATATCTTTACAACATTGTTACTCACAGAGTACTGGGCTATAGACAAGCTAGTCAGCGTTCTCAGGTGCCAACCCTACACAGTTGCAGAACGAACACACACACTAAGTTACACATTTGGGATTAATAACTTAGCCCCTTAACTTGACTCGGTGTGGTTCTATAACATTATCCTCATTAAGATGCCTTCAACTTGGCCTAGGAATGCCTAGGATGGAATGAGGATGCAAAGATGTACTTTAAAACACTTTTCAAAATTTGCTGAAAACAGGGGTCTCGCTCGAACGTGGCTTTCTTCGCTTGAGCGAGCTTACCAAAATAGAGGGGTCGCTTGAGCGTAGACTCCCTCGCCCGAGCGGTCTGTAAAAATGCAAAAGTATTGGTTGTTGAAATTCTCCGCTCGATGCACGCTCGATGCTCCCTCGAGCATGAGACACGAAGCTTTGCTCGAGCGTAGGTCTCGTCCCTCGAGCGTGTGTCTGCATCCACAAAAACCTGAGAGCTTGCAATCTACGCTCGAGCCAGCATTCCGTCGCTCGAGCGGAATTCAGAAAACAAAGGTGCTCGCTCGAGCGTGGAATCCTTCGCTCGAGCGAGGAAGCCAAAATTTGGGTTTTCCAAATTTGCCTTCAAAGCTCAAACCAAGAATTCAACGCATCAAAACTTAATCTTTTGGGCCAGTTTTCTAGAAAACACTTGGAAACTCATAATACAACATGTTTTGAAGATCATTTGATAAAATCAAAGCCCAAAATTAAGCCAATTGCACACCAATTTCAAAGAAACTTGAAGAACAATAGAAGAACTTAACATGCATGAGTTCCCATGAACTCTAATGTTCCAAAACAAGATCAAATGCAAGATTGAGCTCAAAATCATGGTGAATTCATGGACCACAACAAAAATATGAACGTGCATGTAAGAAATTCTTATGAAAGCAACCTCAAAATTCAAGAACATGTACATGCATGCATGAATTAGCTTCACTCTCTTAAATTCTAACTCAACTAACCATGAATTCACCTATTTCATTAATATACAAGCTCTAGGTGGCTCAAAAACAAAATTAAAGGGTTGAGCTCTTACCTAGGTTCTTCAATTAAACTTTACTTAAGCAAGGTCCTAGAGCAAATGAACAATTCTTCAAAATCCAAGCCAAATTTCTAGATGAATTCAATCTCCCTCAAGTCTCTCTCTCCCTCTCACGGTTTTGGTCTTGAGGAAATGGATGAGATGATGCAACAAAATGATATAAAATCAATTAATGGCCCAAAATGCCCACTAGTGGCAAAAATGTAAATAATTCAAGTTGATGTATTTTAACATTAACAATGCTAATTTAATCATTCCAAATCAAATTTTAATTAAACCTACCATAACATCACATAAATTCTAACTAGCATAAAACACTAATCAATTTCTGATTCGGTCGCCGATAAGGCTTCCAATTCGCAGTTTTCGAAATTAGAACATGAACAGATCATTAAATGACAAATAGATAGAAAACGCAATTAAAGCAACATACTCATGCAGTCAGTTCAGAATTTCAGCTTAATCAATTACTTATCACGCTCAATCACAGTTTAACACTAATCAGAGGTGAGGGTTGTCACAGTATAATACCCCCAATCACTTGTTATCATTCAAATTGAAATTTCCAATCATTGCTTCCAATATTTCTCAAATTCATCTTTTGTAAATGAATCATAACTTGCATTACTCAAAGCAACCTTTATGGACTCATATTACGAATATCCTCGCAATTTCTCCAGAATTTTCTTCATAATATACCATAAACACCAACGATGCCGAGCCTGTGGGAAGACAATTTCTATGTCATTTTGCATAGCTCTGCACTGGTCAGTTATTTTCGCTTTTGGTGGAGCAACTAACATGCAACTTAACCATTTTTTGAATAGCCAAACAAATGTCTCTGTGTTCTCATTACTTAACAACCCACAACCAAACAAAGTTGATTGTCCATGGTAATTAACTCCTACAAACGGAGCAAACGGCATATCATATTTGTTTGTCAAATAGGTTGTGTCAAAGGAGACAATATCTCCAAATGCTTTATAGGCCGCCCTACTCCTTGCATATGGCCAAAACAAGTTTTGTATGCGACCATCTTCATCAAGGTCAATTGCCGAATAGAAGTTTGAATTTTGTTGTTGCATTTTATGAAAATAAAATGTAACTGATTCGGCATCTCCTACCCCAAGTCTCAATCTTCCAGCATTCTGAATATAATTCCTTGCATCTTGTTCATCAAACGTTAATGCCTCATATTCCCCTGCTTCAACAACTATGGAATGAAAATTCCTAGCCACCCCAATCCCTGCTGCATCATTAACTTCTAGTCTCCTCTTCACCGGAGTAAGAATCCTCTTATTCATTGGAAAATGCCATGAGTCAGTCGGAATCAAATCATGAGTGTGCTTAAGCATAACTATGGTTAACTTATATCTTTCATCTTTTTGTAGACTGGCTCTTACCCTTGCTTTACAATCAATTTTTGATGACAAACATGGTTCGAGAGGATTTACTTCTGATCTTTTTATTCTATTACGTGCCCGAGTACATTCAATTCCAAAGTACTTTACTTCCCCATCCCTTGTTACATTTTGTGTTCTATAAGCTATAGCAAATCCAAGCTGTTTCGCATATTTTGCATAAAATGCGTACACTTCTTGCTTTGACATAAAATACATCCCCTTCTTCGATTCTTCACCTTCACCACTCTCATTAAATTATACATTGTTATCTTGTTTTTCAACTTCATCACTCACATTGAATGAATTATTGTTTGAATCAATATCCATTCTAGCTTCAAAGTAAAAGGTAAACAACTTTAAATAAGCAAAATAACCAATATGGCAACAGAAAATTATCATTGGCAGCATGAATTAAGGAGGTGAAAGTAATGATTGTGGCTCTTTTCAGATGTAAAATTCATAGTAAAATTGTTAGATGAAAAAATGGAGTTAATTTTTGAATATCTAACTAGTTTGTTACTTTTTGTTGGACTTCAGGACAAGGTGGAGAGCTTTGTTCGTTACGGTATGACTTAACAGTTCCATTTGCTAGATATGTGGCCATGAATGGTATTACATCATTTAAAAGGTATCAAATAGCGAAGGTTTATCGAAGAGATAACCCATCTAAGGGAAGATACCGTAAATTCTATCAATGTGACTTTGATATTGCTGGTCAATATGAGGCAATGGGGCCAGACTTTGAGGTCACAAAGGTTATGGCTGAACTGCTGGACGAGCTAAATATTAGTGATTATGAGGTACTTAGATTTTCAAATCATTCTGTTGACTGTATTGCATTCAATTATGTTTGCACACTTAATACTTGATATGAGATTTAAATTACTACTAAAGCTAAGTTTTTTGGCCTTATATTTTCTATAATATTGTTTTACTATTTGACCATTAAAATAGAAGTCATATTACAAAAACATGATTAAGGAATTATGTATGATATTGCATAACATATTCACCCAATGATATTTCCACACACACAACAGATTTTTGCATAATATATTCACCCAATGCTTAGAAACATATACATTCAAACAACATATTCAATACCCAGAATATATTCAATATTCAATGCCCAGAACATATATATTTGTCGAACATATATATTCATCCAATGGCCAGAATATATTCAAAGAACATTTATTTTTATTTGTTAACTATTTCCACATAGAAAGCACATTTTTGCATAACATATTCACCCAATGCTTAGAAACATATACATTCAAAGAACATATTCAATGCCCAGAATATATTTAATATTCAATGCCCATAACATATATATTTGTCAAACATATATATTCACCCAATGCCTAGAATATATTCAAAGAACATATTCAAAGAACATAATTTTGGGTCTTGTGATCCATTTCTGTTATCAATCCTTTATCACCCAATGCAAAACCCTAAATAAAAAACAAAACCAACTAATCGGTCAAGAAGCATGAATCATAAGCAACATAAAAATATCATAAGTAGCTTGAATCAAGGAGCATCGACGACACCTTTAGGCGCACACAGCAGCAGCGACAGCACCCGTCGGTACTAGTAGAAACAGTAGCAGCCTCGTCAGCGGCACCCTTTCGCACACACAGCGCCGTCGACGTTAATGGGTCTCCTCTCTCTTAGTCTCTCTACTCTGTTCTCTTTTCTTTTCTTTTTTTATTTCAACTGAAATGTCTGAGTTTTGTATTCTAACACAACTGATTTGTACAAAGAAATAGCAAAGAAATGAAGGTAGGTGTAGAAAGAACTCGGGCTAACTCGAGTCTCGATCTTTCGAGTTACGAAATGGTGCTGCGTTTCTTTAGACTTCTATTTTCATTAACTTTTTTTTAAAGGTACTCATCTTTTCAACGGTGTTTTTATGGAAGTGAGTTCCATGTGTGTGTGAAGGATATTGTTGTTGACAATTGAGTAGGTGGGAATTTGACGTGTGAGTTTGGCTCAAGTCAACTAGCTTTTTTTCAGTTAATCCAATAGAACACAGAATCTAGCAACTTGATTCTAATAAAATAAATGATGAAAACTATATATAAATAGAATTTTTATTTTAAAAATCTCATACAAAACAATAAAGTCCCGTTTGATGTAACTGTTAAAACAGATTACAGATTATAATTTAATAAATTATAAATTATGACTTTAATAAAAAACTATTAATCTGTTTGGTGTAACTGTTAGATTATAGATTTAAGTTACTGAGTAGTGTTTGTTAAGGAAGCTGTGAAGTAACTTTTTCAATTAACTTTAATTTTTTATTATTCACTATTTGTCTATATTTCTCATTAAAAAAAAATAATATTTTATAGTCCATTTAGATCTATTTCTATTTTTTTAAAAAAATTTAAAAAAAAAATCTAAGAGTATAATCGTAAATTAACATGTTCACAGTAGAAGCTGATAATCAGAAGTAAGGGTTGAACAGCTTCTCAGAATCAACTTTTTTGACTTAAAATAAGTTGTTAGAATAAAAAACTGTTTGAAATAAGTTTAACCAAACAGTTCAAAATAGCTTTTCAAAAGCCAGAAGTTATAAGTTGACTCAAAAAAATCCAAACAAATGTCCCAATGTGCGCCATTAGTGGAGTTTCTAAAAATACAATTTGAAATTTTCTCTTTTAAACAAACTTTGGGCTTGTTTGGTTTGTTTAGTGGAATTTCTAAAATTACAATTTGAAATTTTTTTTTTAAACAAACTTGTGTTTGGTTCTATAAAAAATATTTTCCACATTTTCTTGTGTTTGGTACAACGAAAAATGAATGTCAATAAAAAAAAATTCACATTTGACAAAAAGAAATGTTTTCTCAAATAAGTTATTGGTACAAAACAATTTCTCTAAAAAAAGAAAAAGAAAAAGAGGTAGATTACCACCGGAGGACGTTGTCCGGATCCGGCAGGTCTATTTCCACAATCCGAACAAATTTTTTTTGCCGGATACTTTGCATTATATTATTCATACACAAAATTTAGTCGATTTGATAATCGTAACCTATTCAATTTATCACGTTTATTATAAAAACAAATTAATGGTTTATTTTTAAAAATACAATTATCATTTTTTTTTTTGACAAACACAATAAATTAAATATTACAAATATCGGATTAATTTTTTGTAAATAATACATACGAAGTGTTAAATAAAATAAACGATTTGAATAATTGAAACAAAATTCACAATGAACCCCACTCCACTAAATCCGAATAGCGCCCTCCAATCTCCACATCTAAGAAAAAAATTTCCACCGAAATAAACTGAATAAAAGAATCAAAATCATGAAAAGTGAAAAAACTGATGACGAGGTAAGCATTTCCTGAAATAACCACAGATTTTAGTGTTTTCCAATGGGGGACGCTGCTGATTCAAATATCATGAAAGGAGTTTTAAATCTTAGATTCTTGTTTTTCTTGTGTATATAAGTAGGCCGTATTGCTCATTGGTCTTTCACTGGAAACAAGTAAGCAGAGAGAGAGAGAGAGAGAGAGACAGAAATGGGTGAGGAAACAGAGACAACAGGTGGGAAGAGGTTAGAGGGAGTGTGGAAAAAGGGAAAACCATATGTGATGATGGTAGGATTGCAGTGTGGGGCAGCTGGGATGCTCATCATTACTGACGCAACACTGAAACAAGGAATGAGCCGTTACGTACTCATTGTGTACCGCAATGCCTTCGCTGCTATCACCCTCGCTCCTTTTGCCTTCTTTTTTGAAAGGTCCACCTCCCTCCCTTTTCGTGAATTTTTCTAACTCTAATCACACAACCGAACACAGTTCTATTCTATACCAAGGAACTGTGTACGATCATGTGATTGAAGAAGAATTTACCTTTTATTTACATGCATGCAAATTGTTGTAGTCATTCAAAAGTGAGTTATGAGAACACAAATGTTGAATTTTCTTAACATTTTTTTTCTTCTTTAATGAAGTCAAGTTTGAGCGACAAAAAAAAAAAAATAATAATAATAATAATAATAATATTGTCATTAAAAATTGGAAAACGTTTCATTTTATTATTTTTTTATTTTTTTATTTTTTGCAGGAAAATAAGGCCAAAGATGACAATTTCAATCTTCTGGAAGATAATGGTCCTCGCTATTCTAGAGTAATGCTCTATGTAGCTTACTGCCTCCGTCTTAAAATAATAGTCTCTTTTTGAAGAATTCAACTTTTTTTTTATAATACAATTATTACACTTTAAAAATATTAATTTTTCAAAATTATCTTTTGATAGTACATTTTTTAAGAATATCAATTGTCATAATTGTACTTTTTATATTGTTGGTGAATTTAAAAGAATGACAAAATAGAAAATTTATAGTATTTTAATCATTGATTTTCGAAAAAAGACTAACATTTTAGGATAATAAAAAATAAAATAAGAGATTAATGTTTTGGGATGGAGGGTGTATATATATAATTCACATCTTTTGATTGATATTGAACTAATCAGCCAAATGGCATACTAATTGTGTGTGTGTGTGTTCTATTCTAGGCCAATTGAGGTCATTTTGGTGAAAACTAGTCTTAACCATGTCATATAACCAACAGGTACATGATATAAGGTCTAAAAGTAAGAGTTAATAAATGTCTGAAGAATAATATATAAATAGAAAATGTATATAAAAAAAGGGTTTGGTTATGGTGTGCAACTTACACCTTACACCTTATACCTTACACTTACACCTTACACTTACACCTTTTGTAAAAAATTAAACCTTACACTTACACCTTTTTTGAGGTTGCACACCATGTGCAACCCACTTACACCTTACACCTTACACCTTACACCTTACATTTACACCTTACACTTACACCTTATACTTATACTTACACCTTACACTTTCACTTTTTGTGTAAGTGGCACATGGTGTGCACTTGCACACTTAAGAAAACTCCATAAAAAAAATGTAGAATTATATATTGAATTGTGAGTTTATTATTTTAAACTAAAAAACTGTATGGTGTCCTCTATTTGCAAAAAGGCTACTGTCACTTCATTCCAGATTTTGTACAAACATGTTGAAAGAAAAGTATTTTATTATATGCAGAAATGATGAACTGCTCTAGTTTGTCTTTTATATCAATTTGCTTCATATAATTTTAATTTTATCAATTTTACCTTTAAATTTTGAGGGAAGTATCAATAAATTTCAAATTAATAACTTATACACTGTTTAGTCCTAAAAGTTTTCTTATAGACTGAAAGGTCCTATTACAATGTTTCAAACATCAGATTAATGTTTCGAACATTAGATTTCGAACATCACATTAATGTTTCGAACATTAGATTTCGAACATCAGATTAATGTTTCAAACATTAGATTGACGTGCAAATGGGACTAAATGGAGCATAAGAAAACTTTTAGGACTAAATGGTTCAACTTTTCAGAAACTAGGACTTATGGGTAAATTTTCCTTAAATTTTTGATATTATATCAATTAATTGATAGAACCTTTTAGAAATGGGCTTGAAATTAAAAAATAAAATAGTGCATTCAGTCTCTTTAGAATGATTAAGGAGTTGATATTTAATTTAAAATTATCTATTCCATTTAAAATAGATCAATTTGTGTGTGTTTTTTTTTTTTTTTTTTTAAATTTCTTAATAAATGTTGCCAATAGAATTAAATTAACACAATCTGTAAAATTAGAAAGGAAAATTGATACAATTTTTGTGCATGTATGATGAAATTATATGTATATATATCACAGGCCACTACTTGATCAGAATGTATCATTCTTGGGAATGAACTTGACGTCAGCATCCTATGCTACTGCCATTATGAATGCCGTTCCTGCTGTTACCTTTCTCATCGCCGTTATTCTCCGGTATCCATTAAATATTAATCACCCAAATTTGTTAATCTGTTCTAAAAAGTTGTGTAACACAATTATTTAATTATTTATATCTTTACATTATGTGTTATTCAGATTCATTGTAAATGGGAATGTGGAATCTAAAGGACTCTATTTTTTAGAGTTTTTTTTTTTTTTTTTTTTTTGGTTGCATTGGAAGTACTTACATATTATGGTAATTAACAGATTAGAGAGAGTAAAGATCAAAGAAGTGAGAAGTCAAGCAAAGGTAATAGGAACCATAGTAACATTTGGAGGAGCACTAGCAATGACATTGTACAAAGGCCCCATCATCAATCTATTTTGGTTCCCCAAAACCTGCCATATTGTACTCTCCAATGACGACTCTGATAAACACTGGCTCTCTGGAACTCTTTGCCTCCTTGTTGGCTGTGTTGCTTGGTCTTGTTTCTTCATTTTGCAAGTAAGTTTTCATTCTTTTTCAATTTTATGTTTTAATATGTTTAAGTTTATAATTCTTTTTTTTCAATTTTTAATGTGGCTGTTGTTGGATTTTAACTGTGCGTCCTCACCACATTCACTGTGCAGTCGATAACAGTGAAGAAATACCCAGCAGAGCTGTCTTTGGCATTTTGGATATGTTTGATGGGCGCAGTACTGAGCGCGGCGTTGACCCTCGTGGCAGAACGTCATCCTGGTGTTTGGGCAATTGGCTGGGACTCTAGACTCCTTGCTCCTATTTATTCGGTTAGTATTTAAATTTTAAAAAAAATAAAAAAAAATTCTTTTTTTTTTGGGCAAATTACATATACACCCCTCGAGGTTTGGTTAAATTACAGATACCCCCCGAGGTTTCGGAAATTACATCCCGCCCCCTGAGGTTTGTATTTTCATAACAATTTACCCCCTGAGGTTTATATTTCATAACAAATTACCCCCTAATTTCTTATGCAAATATAGCATTCAGGGGGGAATTCGTAATTTCTCAAACCTCAGGGGTATCTGTAATTTAGCCAAACCTCGAGGGGTGTATATGTAATTTGCCCTTTTTTTTTTTTAAAGATGCTTCAAAACTAGAAACTCTAAGAATTTATTTTAAAATGGATCGAATTTTAAAAATAAATCATGAAAAACAAAAGATGATTTTCTTGATTTTGTCAATAAAATATATTTTTGTTATTTAGTGGATTCTTCTTGTTCTTGTTCTTCTTCTTCTTTTATTTTTTATACTTTTTAACAGTTTCTAGACTAGAAATGGCTAAATAATTTTTTTTAAAATAATCAAATTTATATTAGAAAAAACACTAGTGACAAAATTAGCAATAAAATAAATATTATTAAAAAAAAGCTTAACAACCACTATCAAAATAATATATATATGATTTTGTATAATCTGATGTAAAATGTTGTAACTGTCTAATTATTTGGGATTATACATGATTATATCATTAAACTTGTGTTTGGATTTTGAATTTGTGAAAAAAATAAAATAAAAGAGAATGTTGGAAGAAAGGGAAACATTTTGCTTAATATTATGATTATTTTTTTTTATGCAAGATGTTAATTAAAATTATCACCACATGAAAACAAAGAAAATTATCCAAAACTATTATACAAAGCATGATTTTATACACCCAAAGCGTATCAAAATTTCCAACTCAATTAACCTGGATTTTGAATTATTTAGGGAGTGATTAGCTCCGGAATCACATATTACGTTCAAGGGCTTGTGATGAAGACAAGAGGACCGGTGTTCGTTACTGTTTTCAACCCTCTTTGCATGATCATTGTCGCAGTACTGGGTTCTATCATTTTAGCCGAAAAACTTCACCTTGGAAGGTACATTTAGTGAATTTTCCTAATTGTACAATTAATTTCATGGCTAATTATCCAATTTTGCATTTGTTAATTTATAAATTGATGATGAAAGTTCAAAATTTGCTGCATAGACTATATAATTCTTTATAGCATTGACTTTATTTATTTATTTTTTATGGAGAAGAGTTTGATGCACTGAGTCGCATTTTATTTTTAATTTGTTGAATTAAATGTTTGACCATCTCAATTTTTCAGCATAATTGGAGCCATCATCATCACGGTCGGCCTATACGCGGTCGTTTGGGGTAAAAGCAAGGATCATGTTGCTCCCACACTATTGACCGACGACAAGGAAGATGTCGGAGAACTGCCAATTTCCACCACCACCGGAGTTGCTAAACTGGCTGCCGGAGGAAAAAACAACCACAAACTCGCTGGAGACTTGGATGATCAAGCAAAGTTGTCTGTAATACGTACAAGCGGCTAATTTTTCTTAATTTGCACCTTTTAAACACTAGTTTGAAGCTAGTAAGGTTTAAATTTGAATCTAATGTTTGTTTCATTGAATTGAATTATATAATGCTTGTAGTATCTAGATTATCAATTTTTAGGTTGTGTTTGGATTTAAAATTGGAGACTATATTTGGAAAGGGAAAAGAAAATAATGAGGAAAATGTCATAAAAATTTTGCTTCTATTTCATTTGCTTTCCTACTTTTCCCTCTGTAAATCAATTTTCAAATTCTTAATCAAAACACAATGTTAAGGTTATGCTTATTCGAGGGACATGGATTTAGGGTTGAATTAATAATTTAACAAAAATACATAGTGGGTCCACTTGGACATGATGTCCTTCATATGAAAATCTATTGAATTTCAAGAGGGGAATATAATATATAATGGAAAACTAATCAAAATTTATAGAATTTTATTAATCTTTCTTTATAATCTTTGATCAATTCAAAACAAAGGATATGATACAAAATCTAAAAAGATTGATAATCTTAAGATGATTTGTCCAAGGAATATTAATCTCATCTAATTTAGTCCAATCAAACATGCATGACTTAAGATTATGCAGCATATCCCACATTTGAATATTCTTGAATTAGGAGGAGAAATTAGTAGACTCTTATCATGTTCCATATTTTTTTTTTCCCCAAGCACTGAACATGAGTTATATGATACAACAATCATAATTTGAAAATACTTTGATCTTTTATACCTTTTATCCAGACTTCCTTAATCCTTCTATTTTGTACCACATTTCCCAATAAAACTTAGGACTTATTTGGAAATTTATTATTTTAATTGACTTTTTAATTTTTTTAAGAAAAAAACATAAAAAAGTAGAGAAAATGATGTAACAAGAGAAAATTACATATATATGAGAGTTGGAAAAAAAATTACAAACACCCGAGGTGTAAGTGTGTCTGCAGTAAAGTGCAAATGAAAGACTGTGGAGGTACAAGTGTCACTTGTATCTCTCCATATGTTAGTAATTTTTTTTATAACTTCCACCTACATGTAATTCTCCATTTAACAACTTATAATTTTTTCTTAACTTTTTTAATTAAAAACTCGCATGAAAAAGGCTCGTTCAGAGAGACTAACCCAAAAGTACATTTTTTAATCTAAACACTTCCAAAATAAAGACAGCCTAAATATTGACAATGAGCTCAAAAAGTGTAACTAGTTGAGAATACAATATGTCATTCTAATTATTGACAGCCAAAACACCTTTACGTCAAGGTCATCACCTCTATGTTTTCATGTTGCATGGGCGTGTAGCATTGTAACATTGTGTCTTCAACATAAAACATTTGGGTTCTGTTTGGAGAGATGAAATTTAAATAAAGAGATTTGAAGATAAACTTAGGCCTCGTTTGGGATGCTACCTTTTTAGCCAATTAGTCAAAAAGTTACTAAATTAATCAATTAGCCAATTAGCCAATTAGTCATACCAAAAAGTCAACAATTACGGCTTCTTTCTACTTTTTACACAGCTTTTCGTAATTAGTCAAAAAGTCATCCCAAACATACAAGTTTTTTTTACCAACCTTTTTAGCCAATTAACCAAAAAATTACTAAATTAGCCTGTTTCCAAACGAGGCCTTAATAAAATGTAATAGAATTGACTATTATAAATAGATTGAGAAACTAAAGAGAAAATCGAGTTAGATAAGATGAAAAAACATTTTGTTATGATATTTATATACAAATAATCATCACAGATTTCAAATAACTAGTTTAATATTGTTATTTTAAATTCATCAAAATAAAACTCTCCAATTTAATCATGAAATCTAAAACAAAGCTATAATTTACAAATTTGACCGATTCTTCTCAATTGATTAGTGCTCAAATTGTTTCACTTAAAATCTATAAATTCAAATCCAACCTTATTTTCAGTTCAAATCTTTACTTTTTATTTTGAAAACTACTACAGATTGAATGATTCAACCCACATCTCGCTCGAGATGGCAATATGAACCTGACCTGAAGGGGACCCGGACCGCCCCGCCCCAACAAATAGGATTTTCCCTGAAAATTATTTCCCATAAGGCCGAGACTGGTATTGAAAAATACATCCCCGACGGTTTTCGGGCCGGGGACGGTGATAGGTTCCCCCGGTCCCGGCCCCACCCCAAAATTTCCCCTAATCATCCTCGCTTATATACATATGTGTTTAGGGTTGTATTATATATCTCTTTCTCAACTCTCTCACTCTCTCGTTCTACTCTCCATCAACTCTCTCATTCTCACAGTCACTGACACCACCACCACACCACTCTCTCTCTTTCTCTCTCTCTCTCTCTCACACACACACACACACACCTCATGTGCTCTCTTATCTCTCCTCTTTAGTCACTGATCACACACCACAGTCACTGACACCACCACCACCACTGGTCTAGACTCTGATCTACAGATGACAACATCGACTCAGATGGACAAAAACCTTGGATCATTTCTTGAAGAAGCCGAGGCAATGAAAATAGAGATGGGTTCAATACAAGACATCTTGGGTCGGCTACACGAATCCAACGAAGCTTTCAAGTCTCTCTATCGCCGATCTCATTTTCTAAGTCCATAGTTCCAGTTCTGATCGATCCAATCACCACAAAACCTTCTCTCTCTCTCTCTCTCTCTCTCTCTCTCTCTCTCTCAAATATAATGTAGTACATCTCAATTTGTTTGCTCTTGATGAATGGTAATTGTTTGAATCTGTTCTATTGATGATAATGATAGATAGATTGTCATGACCCAACCCCAGGGCTTAGGGCTAGAATCGCAACTTATTAATTAATTCTAATCTTAACAAATTAAATGGCATAGACAGAAGGAAAATGGAAGTAAGAAAATAATTAAACAAAAAATTAACTCTATTCTACTATTTTGATAAAAGAAAATAAATCTATAGGACTTTTATTATTTTATTATGTAGTGACCGGCCATCAGTAAAAGAAACAAAATAACGGATCATCATCGAATTCTTGTGTGGGTTCCATTACACGAGGTTACGGGTCTTTCTTACATCTCATCACCTGAATGGGTAACAGCTACAAGCACACAGCAGAGTGAGAAATATTATGCCAAGAGTATAAGGAGCACAAAATAACCATGGATAGTTATTTAAGCTAAAACAATAACATAATTTAATTTCAATAAATAAATTATTCAAAGTGGCAGAAACTGAAATACAGAAATTATGTAAATAAACAACCATAACCACAGTACAGAATAGAACAGAACAGAGGTTACTGGAGTGACAATCAGAACAAAGGTCAATGGATCCATGACAAACAGAGGGTTACAAAGTGACCAAATAGAGGCTAATGGTTATTTAAGTCCCCCTTAGGCATAGGATTCTCATGGTGGTACTTACAAAATATAATTGTTTATAAAATCATTGTCAAATAATTTTTAAAATTTAAACAAATATTTCCATGGGTTTCATTTTAAGCAAATAGAGTTTAAAAAAATAATTAACGTACTTGAAATCTATATATATAAGTTAAAACATAACTTGTATAAAATAAATTATAATAACTCAAAATATACATAAAATATATTATGGTTACTCAATGTATAATATAACTCACCTTAATATTGACCGTTAACCTTTACTTTTCTATAACTGCCTTGTTGTTACCCGTAGGTATATTCCCTTCTTATCCGAAGCTTAGCGTTATCAACCACTAGTGCTAACTATTTATAGAGGAGAAGAATGCATGGTTTCTTTCTTATTGACGTGGGGTAGTTTTTAATTTGGTCACCTATCCTCACAGGTGGTCCTATTCTCCTAGTCCCCACTTGATGACTCACCTATGCTAGATGTGCATAGTCACCACCCTATATGCTAAGGTGGTGACAAGCCACTGTAAATTTTTATTTTTATTTTTTTATCTTTTTTATTTACCCTTGGTCCACAGATTAATTTCTCTGTTAATAACTAAGTTCAATTTGAGTCAAATTTTAATTTTACCATTCATAATTTTATTAAATGTTTAACTAAATAAATCAAGTATTTAGGTGTCACAGATCTGTTGGTGATGATGTTAATGATGCCGGGGAATTTTCGGGGTCAAGGACACCCGATCCCCGTTAGGGAGAGGAGGCGGGGACGGGGACAGTGATAGGTTCCCCATTAGGGATAGAGGTCGAGGACGAGGAAGTTTTCACCATCGGGGATCGGGGGACGGGGAGTGTGATCCCCAGCCGATTGCCATCCCTACATCTCGCACCATTAATTCATTTCTAAATATCCCACCATTACACTTCCAAGTCTTTTATTAGCTAATTACTTATTCAATTATTTGATAATTTTTACAAAAAATATATCAAAGATTAAAATAATTATTGAATACTAAATTTTAAATATATCTAATGTGTCACCAAACATAAGATATCAAAAAGATAGGCAAAGACTTAGGGTTTTTTTTTAACGATGGCAAAGTATTAGGTGGCATGCAAAGAGTTTGAGATGGAAGCCCATGATGACATGGCGATTAACGAAAGGAGCAAAGCTGGAATGGAGGGATTGGATGAAGTGCACGCCCATATGTCCACCTCCGTATCAATGGCGAGTGAAACTAACAGAGGTTTGGCAGCTCAAAATGTAGGAGTGACATCATTAAATGACTGCTCAAGACTCAAAGGAGGTATGTATGAAGAAGTAGGTCAGAGCACAAAGGAGTGAGAAAGATGAAGAGATAGAACTTCGATGGGCTCAGATGGGCTTATAAGAAGTTTAAAGGGGAACTTACTGATAAGTCCTATGTACCAAGTTCAAGATCCAGCTAATCCCAAAACAAAACACTTGCACCAATTAGTCCAATACATTTTTAATTGTTACCAAAAAATCCTTTTTTTTTTTTTCGCCGGAGACTCGTCGGAATGTTCAACATCGCCGGAGACTCGTCGGAATGTTCAACATCGCCGGAGACTCGTCGGAATGTTTAAAACATGTTATGAAACTGTAAAATTTTACAGTTCTAAAGAATGTTATAAAACTGCAAAATTTTACAGTTTTAAACCATGATTCATTCCGGCACCAAAAAAAAATTTTGAAACTGCAAAATTTTACAGTTTTCACCGCCTGTAACTAAAACTCG